CACAAGAAAGTCCACTTACTTTGTACGGATTAAAAAGGAATAGACGGGCAAGATGTTCAACTTCCTTGGGCCATGTGGCACTCCAATATAATGTTTGGCGATCTGGGCGAATCTGCAGAAATCATGGAGCTAAAAATCAGTTGAACACATTAGCATCAGGTCATCAACAAAATGATGGAACAGAAAAATAAAGAGGAATGTGAATTTCCACATTATGCTGCATCAATATTCAAACAGGCAGCTTCCTAAACCAGTTCTGTGTGAAATTCAGTACAAACCCAGCACAAATGACGTTTCAGAAAAACCTAATGCAGCCAAATGGACAACATAATACGATTCTCTCTGAATTGTTCCTAACTTAAATTATCCATCTTTCTTTCTGATAAATAAAAGGTTGTCTCAAAGTAGCTAAATAATCAAATTTTTAGAGTAAGAAATTGACAATCAAAGAATTAATCAGAACGATTATACAAGTGAGAGATACAACAATGATGCATAAATCAGATATCTTCTTATCTGGATCTCATTTTAGTACCGTATATCTTAGTACTGAAGAAAGCATAAAAAAAAACATATATATTCATTAATGCTCAAGAGCATCGGTCTAGAACAGACCTGATTAATAATTTTTCGAATCTGAGGTTCAAAACCCATATCTAGCATCCGATCCGCCTCATCCAACACAAGATATGTAACCCTTCGCAGGTTTGTATGATGAGACTCCAACATATCAATCAGCCTCCCAGGTGTTGCAATGACAACTTCGACACCTAGTTGGGAACCAAGATGATAATGACTAAAATGATAACAGGAATTACATTTAAGAAAACAAGTAAAAGAGAAGTAGCAGAAGGAGATACCCGATTCATGAACATCACGATACAGTAGTAAAGTCACGTTGAGCTTATCACCACCTACCTTTCTGGAGATCACGAACTTGGGGTCCTTTTGGGACCCCACCATATATGCACGTGTTCTTAATCCTTGACGATGCACCAAATTTAGTAGCTTCTTGCTGAATCTGAACAGCAAGTTCACGAGTTGGGGCTAAAACTAAAACTATTGGACCATCTCCCGGAGCTAACAAAGAACACATAAGATTTCATAAATACTATGCTATCCAAGGGCTGAGAAATGGTTAAAAATAAAAATATATATTCAAATCCACATACACAAGCATAAGAACAAATATCATGACATTACTGAACCCATAATACCTAAAAATGGTTGAGCATTAACATGGACAATTGCAGGTAAGAGATAGGCAAGTGTCTTCCCTGACCCCGTTTCTGCAATACCAATAAGATCACGGCCTTTCAAAGCCATGGGCCAACCTTGAGCTTGAATGGGTGTAGGTTCAGTAAAACCAGCTTTTACAATTTCTTGCATGACATAATCTGAATTGACAACACTGAAGAGCTTTAAGAACCAAACTAAGATGAAAAACCAAAACAACAAATGTCATCCAATACGAAATAAGAGTTTCTCGCAAAATAAATAAACTAACTGTTTGTAAATGAGAGTAACTCCACGAAGATCGACAAGGCGAGGGAAAAAAAAGGATTATCCAGCGAACACCAAAAGTTCATTTTGCATATATTTTCCTACCAAAAGATCTTGACGGAGAGAGGCTTTTGAGCATTGATCTGATGTGAAGTTTTATAAAAAGAACTTGTTCAGACCACAAAATTTATAGCAGTTTCACTTTATAGATGCCTAGAAAATATTAAGTAAGAACATTCTCGTGCATGCACTGCAGCTTCACGATTGACATTGGCCCCCAATAAACCAAGCATAGGCCAAAGTTACTATGCACAAACCCACCAGTTGATTATATCTGTTCAAACAGATCGGTGAAAAATAAATAAGTCAAGCATGCTCAAAGAGAAAATAGCATTTCCCATTTTGTCATATGTATGGAGTAAACATAACTTAATGGAAACAATGTTTGCTCAGGAAGCGGAATCCTAATATAAGCTACCTCCATTTTAAATTCAATAAGGTACAAATTCATCAGTAGGGGTTCCTTGTTAGACTTAGGTAAATTCCATTTTCTTATATGAAACTTGCTTTCTCACAGTTCCAGTCAATATTGCACTAGCCTAATTGAAGCTTTGCAACAACTTTTCTTATATTTTGCCTTTCATTTCTGAAGTCATGACCTTGCTATAGTTCATATATTTTCAGTACATATGAAGTCAGACAGTCCGCGGAGACCCCTGAAAAGTAGTGAACAGATATACATGCGCATCCTATCTTTAGCGTAAATAATTTTGAAGAAACAAACTGTTATAGATAAAACAATTAGTCAACCTGTCTGAAAATGGATAGAGTTCAATTTTATCAGTAGAAATATATATAATACAAGACAATCTCATTTGCATACAATACCAATTATCCACACATTCACAATTTTATGCGGGAAAAGGAAACTCCGCCAGGTTATACCTGGAAACCCAACATCCTGAAAAGCCTTCACTGGCTTGGGTACGTCCTTTCCTTCGACAGTAATCTCCCGTCGCCGCCTATACTCCTCAACCTCACTCTCAGACATTGCCGAAACTGACGGCGACTCCACGTAGAAGTTCTTCTCAAACGGAGTCAACCCATCCAAATCCAATTTCCGCTGTGGCGCCTCCGAAGAGCCCTCGTAATCTCTTTTGATTGACGATGATGAAGACGAACGATAACTTGAGCCCCCACCAAACCCCGAATCACTGAGATAACACGAACCATAAAAGAAAAATGATAAATAATTTCCATTAAGAAAAAATTCAGACTCACTTATTATTTAGTAGATAACTAGATATAATAGTTGTACGTATGGAGATATGGATGTAAATTGAGGGTTAGGGTGGGGTTTATTACGTTCGGCGGTCGCGATAGGAGCCGGGGTCGGCGGAGCGACTGTCGTAGCGGCTCATGATTTGTGGGTTCTGCAAGCAACTCTGATTGAGATTACGGAAAGTGATGTAAATTTTTGAAGAATGGTAGAGCAGTGCTAGCGTGCTACCGTGCATAGGCGAATGGGGGAAAATTGAGGGTTCGAAGTGTGGGGTGGATATTTCATGGTTGGATTTTCGCCGCAGCAAATAAAATTTGGTTAAAATTAAAAAATTATGAATTTAAAAAATATTAATGTTAAAATGAATTGTTAACTTTAAATTTAAAAATATTATAAAATAATGAGATAATTATTGATGATTATTTAGAATTATTTTTATACATAGATAAATCTTATCTAATTTGGAACATCTGTTTTATTTCAATTATAATTCTTATTTTGAACCCCGTAAATATGGGGCATTGATTTTTAATAATACATACGAATCTATTGACTTATATTCTCTATTCTCTTCTTCCCTCTTTTACAACATGTTATCAGCATGATTCTCTAAAAATTATAGCAAATTAGTCTGAAGATAGTCTATGTCCATATCAAATTGTACTCGCTATTTTTTCCCTTGTCGCATACGTGTATAATTAATTTTAGCAGAATCCCAAAATTTTGAGAATTTCTTATATCGTTTGCATCCAATTTTTGGAGCCAAATACCAAGCAAAATTAGAATTCATTAAGGGTGTGTTTGATTATATTTATTTTTCATGGAAAATATCAGTTTTCCATCTAAATTTCTACTTGGAGTGTTTGATTGCTATTTTTTTCCATGGAAAACATTTTCCAACTTTTGAAAATTTTTGCTCTTCATTAAGGTGCTCTTTTTGGACAAAGTAGAATGACGAAAACGAGATGTTTGGGATTCCAACTTAACAAATTAAAAAAAATGGGTAATTGGCACAAAACGTGGACCTTTAAAGTTTATTGTGGAAAACATCCCCATCTTTTATATTTTGACATTTTTTTCCTTTATTTCCCCCCTTTTTTTTGAAAAAACGTCATTTTCACTTTTTTTTAATGTAAAATGACTAAAATACCCGCCCTTTTAAATAAAACCCAAAGAAAAGAAAAGAAAAGAAAAATAAAGAACTCCTAAACGTTTAAAAAAGTGCAAGTAAATACAAATAATTATTAAAAGGCCTAATAGCACAAAATGTCCCTACATTTTAAATTGGTGAAATTGACTTTTTCAGCAATGAAACGTAAAAATAGAAATGAAAACGCAAAAAAATTGAAATGTAGGGACATTTTCCGCAAGAAGTGTCAAACGTATGGATTTTTTTGCTATTAGACCATATTAAAATATTAAAAAAAAAATCCCTCTCTCTCTCTCTTCTCTTCTTCTTCTCTCTCACTCCCCTTCTACAAATCTTCTACGAGCTTGCATTGTCGATTAGGTAGTCAATCACAGGAGAAAGCATTTGCCTTTAAACCAAATAAAAAACATTAGCATAAATTTGGTACATTCCTCCACATCCATTATAAGTAATATAAAGTAAATTAAATAAATAAATCACGGAAAAATAAATACTTCATGCAAGCTCTTTATAATGCTCTGATGTCACTCCCAGATTCCAAAAGTCCAAACATTTTCTGTGATGTATGAACTCCTACTCCCAGACCTAAATTTTCAACGCAAACCGTCAAAACAAAATTGAACAATGGGACTGCAATTCGAACAGCTTTCACATTCTTATAGCAATTTCCCTTCGAACTAGTACAATATTGACCCTACAAGTCTCTTAACAACTATTGAGATTTTGGAACACCGATTAGTGTTCAACCGACACCCTCTCCATTCTTCTAATTCAGTCATTTTTCTATTTATTTGCACGTCAAAATTCACCAACATAGGTCCCTCTTCCAATGAACTAATTTCTAAATACGAATCCCAGAAATAAATTTGACGGAAAAAGCAAAGACGGGGAAAACGAAAACCAAACCCCAGAAGAGATATTGATTCCTGAGTAGCCCAGTAAAAATTGGAACGTTGGTCAAATGCAACCAATGTAACAAACACACGAGATTCAACATTCAAAGACGCCATTTACCTACAAATACAAGAAACATAAACATATACACAGAAAGACAGCGAAACAAACCTCCAACGGTTAAATTGACAGCCAACAGAAGTGGCCAGATGAACTTATAGCGGCGGGCAAATGTAGCTTTAGGCGGCTAAGGTGGCGGCGGAGGAGGAGGAGGAGGAGTTATCGACGACGCCATCGATGATGGTGCAGATGCCTGTTGTTGCTGATATCGCTTCAGCTGTGCTGTTAATCGTTCCGTAATGGAAAAACCAAAAATTGAACAAATAATTTGAAATTAAAAGCTACAAGAAAAGGGGATTGATTCTTTTTGTTCCGTAAAAGCTACTAAAAATATATATACCTTTCTTGGGTTTGTTAGTGTGAAGCTTCGGCTCTTCGCTCATTGTTGAAAAACCTCTGCTAATTTTTTTTCTTCTCTCTAGGTATTGGGGACCGGAAATTGCTTACAAATTTTCAGATGAATCCATCAATGGATAGTTTTCTTCATTTCTTTTTCATTTCATAGGGTTCTTGGGAAAAAACTCTTGGGGGCGATGAACAAGCAACTGATTAGAAAGCTACTAAAAATATATATACCTTTCTTGGGTTTGTTAGTGTGAAGCTTCGGCTCTTCGCTCATTGTTGAAAAACCTCTGCTAATTTTTTTTCTTCTCTCTAGGTATTGGGGACCGGAAATTGCTTACAAATTTTCAGATGAATCCATCAATGGATAGTTTTCTTCATTTCTTTTTCATTTCATAGGGTTCTTGGGAAAAAACTCTTGGGGGCGATGAACAAGCAACTGATTACGACGTCGCATTTACCGGACGCATTTCGTTATATTGCCTCATTGGTCTCCTTTGCTGGACGGTGATTGATGCCTAGCCTTGGCGTTGTTACGTGCTTTGTAAATTAAGACCATGTTTGGCAACAAATGTTTTTTTTTTTTTTTTTTTTGGTTGGTTAAAAAGAGGAATAATCTATCATCAACCTCTTTTTTAGCATCAGATCTCCCAACCTCTGACTTAACTGCAAATCACATCCTTCCATCCATTTTTATAGTTAAGTCCACGTAATGCAAAGAATAGAAGAGGAAGAAAACAACTAATAAAAAAGGTAAAATTACAGTTGGAGACACCTTTTTTTTTTTTCCCCCTTCAAATATTACAAATATAAGCTGAATAAGAATTAACTGAAGGCTCTCAAACTTTCATTTAACTTCTTAAAGAAATAAGAAGCCCCATGAAGTATTATCATTTTATCTCCTTGGTTCATGCCAAAACACTCCCATATAATGTATTTTTATGAAATATTGTTCAATCTTATTCAACGTGTCGTACCAAATCATTTTAAAAGAGGCTTTCTTGCGCTAATCAACATTTCATAAAAGAGAACTGTCCATTTAGTTGGAAGGCCGAAAATTTTTGTTTCACCTTTCAGCTTCCTGATCGATCTTCCTCGACAACTATCTGATTTCACTGAAAGACGAAGGAAAAACGCCGAAAAATGTGTAGAAAATATAGCACAATCTCACATGAATGTCAAGGAAAGTAATAACTTGAAATGTGTTCACATTCTACTTTATATTCAAAATAGTCCTCAAAAATATTACATGTGGGAGACTAGTAACATTTCAATACTATTTTCCTTCCAAGCTTAACAGTACCAAGAGATTGTTGGAGACTAGTAACATTTCAATACTATTTTCCTTCCAAGCTTAACAGTACCAAGAGATTGTTGAAGCTTCAAGTTTTTCTTCCCCCGTATCAAGCACATTATCAGTTCCAAGAACGCCCACCTCCAAAACCTCTCCCACGATCTCGGAAACTTCCATGACCTATGAATAATACAGGAAGAAACTATTTGAAGCAGACTTGAGATCCATTGAAGTCGTAAAAAATTTAAAAGTTTCTTTTAAGCATATTTTTGCTTCTAAATGTGGTTGCTTTTGAAGTAGCTCTATCGAAATGAATAACTGATATTCAAAATTGACCAATTAAAATTTTATTAATTGTAAAGCTTACACATTAGCTTATTTATTTTTCCAAACACGTTCTCACAAAAAGATAAAAGAATGTGTATATGCGTGTAAGGTTTACCTGGAGGAGGAGGTGCCCCACGTCCCATGGCTGCAAGCTCAGGACTGACCTTCTGTCCAGCCTCCTCGAGGATGCTAATGAGTTCCTTTGCAAATCGGGCATTTGCAACTGTGAAAAAAGTGTATGCTGTTCCTTTGGCACCAGCCCTTCCTGTTCGACCAATACGATGAACATAATCCTCGAGAGATCCCGGGAAGTCATAGTTGATGACATATTTCACATCCTTCACATCTGCCAAGTTCAAAAACAAACTATATGGAATAAAATACTTCCTCCTGTAGTACTCCAGTTTCAAATATATGTCGGTCAAGCCGTTTATACCAAATCTCAGAATCAAATTCTCCATACAAGCCTTAAAATTCACATTTGGTCAGTTTGAAACTAAGGTAGAATTACACCACAGAACAATTCGAGACACTATGTGACTGCACAAGAGCATCTGATACCATAGTAGTGCAATCTTCAGAGAGACAGCAAATGGGAAAAAAAAATAACAATGGCAGAGGAACTTCAGCTAATGATGCTAAGCATCAACAGAGCATATCTTGCCCACTCAATCAACATTGAAATACTTATAAGACCACCCATTCATCATCTAAACGGTGGAAATTTGAGTGGGTCACAGCACAAAAAAATGTTGTAAAGAAAAGGCAAAATGGAGAAGAAAAAAGCTACTAGTTGCGTAACTTCTAATTTTTAAGAGTCGGATAAGACTCGTTTGGACTGTACTACATGCAGGAAAAGAAACCCCATCAGGAAACTTTAAATTATATTACTCCATATAATGTTTCCTCTCTTTAGGGAAAGAGTATCCATAATGGAAAGGAACAATAGAAAGATGAGACACTGAAAATTATGTTTTCTAGGGGGGATTCTGTGGAAATCAATCTAAAAATTTTAGGGTTTTTTGAGCCCCATTTTTTGGGAAGATAAATTTTGTTACAGTGATTTTTTAAGAATGTGTGGTTAAAAAGTAGGAAAAAAAGTAAATTTACGTGTAGAATTATTTTATCGGGAGAATTGTGTGGTTGAAAATGAGTTGGGGGAAGAATGGAGCTCAAACCGGGGCTTAAATTTACCAGGGAAGAAATTATCTAATCTAGTACTACCTAGATCTGTATATATATTTAACAGACATGAAGCCAACGAATATTTAAACAAAGAAGCCACTCAAGATCATGTAACCTTTACTTTGCGAGGCATAGACATACCTAGACCTCTAGCTGCAACGTCAGTTGCCGTCATTATGGGACTCTTGCCAGCCTTAAATTCTGAGAGGACCCAATCCCTTTCTGCTTGACTTTTGTCTCCATGAATAGATAATGCAGGCCAACCATCCATACGGAGCTGCCTAGTTACTTGATCACAGCCCTTTTTGGTGTCCATGAATATCAAAATCCGGCTACCGTCCATAATGTCCTCCAACAACTTCACTAATCTGTATTTTTAAACAAAATCAATTTGAACTATGGATCCAACATACAGGATACAAATATTAAAGACTTCGTCCTAAAGTATAGAAGTGCAACCAGAAAAGAGGCGTTGGCCTACTTATTATATTTTTGGTTCTCAGAAACAATTTCAACAAGCTGGCGAATTGCATGATTGGCTTTTAAATCTTCAGAACCAATGATCACCTGCCCCAAAAAAAATAACATAGAAAACGAAAATCATCCATAACATATTACTCAGTAACTTGAGAAATTGCATAGCAGAAATGTTTAAATGAGCCAACTCAAGCAAGGCTCAACAATATCAAACTCATCTAGATATATAAAAGACCATCAGACATTGCTTAGAGCTTCACTACATTATACTTCCAGCTGAGATCAGCTTCTTCATAGCCAAATCTGAGCCAAGCTGACTGATTTACGAATTACTCATATTAAAAACATTTTTGCATTGCTTCTTTACTTGGAGTAAATGATTTTTCTACTCTGCTTCGGGAATATCTGCAGATGCAAAGTCGATTTGTTGGTGTAAGAGAGGTGAGGTATATATTATACAGTTTGATGGCCTTAGTTTTGGCAAGAGGGCTGCATGATTAGCATGGAGGAGGCCGAGTGGAGAGAGGTTCATAGCGAAAATGGCAGGAGTACAATGTCTTGAGGATATGCAAGTTTTGTTGCTTGAAGGAATCAAAGGCTAGACTTCAAGACCTGTTTTGTTTGCCCAATCTGGGATTGTTTACACAGATATTCTATTAAAGAAAAGGGCAAAAACATCCAACTCAACGGTAATTCAAACACTAGGTTTATGAAATGGCAATTTATTCTTAATACTAGTGTTGAACTTTGCTAAAACGATGTGATGCCATTCCTGCACTGCCGACGACTCCCTAACAACTCCATCTAATTTACCCAACTCCTTTCGATCTTTTAGGATCTGAATGCTTATTATAAGTCACGAAAGGCAAATATCTGTTTTGGGTCTCAAAACAGCTTATAGCTTTAAAAGAAAAGGCTAGCTTCAGCTATTTTAGGCAGTACAAAATTGGACTAACTAGCTTAGCAAGTAGATCTGTAAAAGTTAGATAGCTTATAATTTGATGTGTGCGCGTGTGTGCACGCGCATATATATAACAGCATTGCATTCTAGTAGTCAAGCAGTAATTATCCATGTCATATGTTACAGGGGAAGGTCATAACTTCGTCCACGGCACGAGAAAGTCCACTTACTTTGTACGGATTAAAAAGGAATAGACGGGCAAGATGTTCAACTTCCTTGGGCCATGTGGCACTCCAATATAATGTTTGGCGATCTGGGCGAATCTGCAGAAATCATGGAGCTAAAAATCAGTTGAACACATTAGCATCAGGTCATCAACAAAATGATGGAACAGAAAAATAAAGAGGAATGTGAATTTCCACATTATGCTGCATCAATATTCAAACAGGCAGCTTCCTAAACCAGTTCTGTGTGAAATTCAGTACAAACCCAGCACAAATGACGTTTCAGAAAAACCTAATGCAGCCAAATGGACAACATAATACGATTCTCTCTTGAATTGTTCCTAACTTAAATTATCCATTTTTCTTTCTGATAAATAAAAGGTTGTCCCAAAGTAGCTAACTAATCAAATTTTTAGAGTAAGAAATTGACAATCAAAGAATTAATCATAACGATTATACAAGTGAGAGATAC